TATAAATTAAAGTTGTTTCCTAAATTTTGCTCACTACATATAATGATGCGAACATTTGTTAATGTGTAGGAAAAAAGTCAACAAGCTACGAGCAATGCTGATAAGAAAATGTATACCCATCATATGGGTTGTAAGACATTTGCGGAAAGTAGACCAAAGTGGATCAAAGAGGGTCTTTACCCCGAATCCAAAATGTCATCATCTGATAAACATCTTTCGTCCACGGTGACAACTTTGGTAAGTCGTGCAAATGAGGCGGTGTGCTATGCATGGGGTCGACAAGGACACCGGGAAGTACGTAGTCATCAAACACCCGGATACAAAAACAGTAGCAGATGCACTTGTAAGCACCCAACTACATTTATGATAATATTGCACCGTTACTTTTCCAGATTTCCATAGAACGTACATCTAACTAGAAACTTTTTTTGTCGTTGCAGCTCGAGCATACCTCGGAAGTGGTTGAAGGCAAGCTCACTCCAAGCATAGACAACGATCCTTTTACCTTGGCGTTGGGAAAACCATATCACCCGGGGCGAGTAATTGGTTCGGGAGGGAAACAACTAGGGTGGGAAAAGGTTATGGGCTCAGAATACACTAGATTAGGAAGAACTAGATCAAGTGTTAATTCACCACACCATATGGATGCCAAGGAAAAGGAATGAATCAATTAAGGCGGAGATATGCAAAGAGGTGCAAGAACAATTGCAAAGTCAATTCAATGCCATTTTGAAGCACATGAACTTGCCAAGCTTGTCATTGCCCCCGATAACCCCAGTGGACTCATGTAGTCACCAAAAAGACGTCGGGGACGATCCACTTGTTGACAGCGAGGTAATTGTATTATAGTTGAGAACATGAACTTGTTATCATCACACAAGGCCTTATGTAGCATAATTATTTTACTATTGCAGATTCCTAGTCCTACGCATGCAGATTCAAGGGAGATTGCAAACCAGACACCTGATCCTTTTCCAGATGTTAAGGTAAATATCAAGAGCTAATGAAATGTCCTTGTATATTAGGCTTACGCCGGTTAATTAGTTTATAACTTGTCCTAATCAAATGTGTAGGAAGAGACGCCTTGTGAGCTTCTTCACCTCGGGAAAAACGTGGATGGAGAGTTGGTGGGGTATGGTAGCGCATAACCATTTGACAAGGTCCATTTCAAGTCTAACACTAATACCCACTATATCTCGGTCGGCATCAATTCCATAGTACCTGGGTTTGAGGACTTGCCACTACCAGTGCCTAGAGAGGAATATGACTTCATCACGCTGCTTGATGCGAAAGGTAGTTTTGTGCAATGGCCACGTGATCGGGTGAGGTTGATAGGAGGGGTAAGTGTACACTACTTAGCTTGTCTTTGAAACATGTCGCAAATAGCTTGTACTATATATAACCATGTGCTTTTATGTTACAAATGAAAATTAGTCCTCTAAAAGGAAGAAGGTGGAGAAGCCAAAATCTAAGAATGTCCAACCTACAAAGAACATGGAACAAGGACAAGGGTTGAAGAAGAGTTCGAGAGGTTCTACCACGAGTTGTACTCCACTAGTAGAACCCGATGTCCTTCATTCTCTCTCTAAAGCTTGTACTTTTCTTCACAACCGTGTTAGTGAGTTGCCTAGGGGTAGATCTATTGAAGTGAATTTACCTAAGGCATTGTTCCACTATGATGAGGATGGGATCGCACCATTTGCAAAAGAGGATGTGAAGGAATTTCTATCCGGTGACATGCTTAACATTTCCATCATTCAAGCTTTCATGAGGTAATTCAATGCCACTATTCCTAAACATATTGTTCTTGCATTTTCGAATGTAAACAAGGTAATTAATAATTATTCCCCACATTACTGTCATGAAGGGCACTACAGGAGCACCTTGTTAGTGGATGCAATTCCGAGGCTGCAGTTGGGTGGTTTTGCCCCGAGCAGACCTCCATTACCAGATGCTTATGCAACCCTCGTGAAGTGGAAGATTACCTAGAACGGAGTATTAAGGAAGCAACGCATGCGGGAGATAAGTTCATATTAGCCCCATGTTTTGAGGAGTACGTCTAAAAATGTCATAATTCAGTTGTTATTTTTTTTCCAAATTCTGAAAATGCAGTTAACTGTGGCGTATATATGTTGACGTTTTTTAAATATATGCAGTGCTCATTGGAGCCTTTTGGTGATTTGTGTTTCCAAAAACACAATCTACCACTTTGATTCAGTTCGTGAGACTCCACCACGGAAGTTGCTGGTGAAGAACCTACTAAATAGGTACATATTGCTTCCTTTTGTTGATTGACCTCACCTAAATCATTGAGTATTTATGTTTCTAACTTTGAACTTATTTTCCTAAAGTGTTATGAAGAAGCTAAATTGTCGTTCTGTTGCGGGTCCTACGTGGAAATATGCAAAGGTAATGCTTTGAGTTAGTGATTTGTTTAATATACTTGGCTTCGGTTATGGCTATGCATGATTAGATTACCTTTGTGGCATGTTAGTGTGCGCAACAAGACAACGGACTTGATTGTGCCCTATACGTGATGAGGTTTATGCTTGACATAGTCAATAGTTGCATGGAAGCACAACACCTAGATGAGTTATGCTTTTACCATATTCAATCTATTACTTGACCGAACATAAAACAAGCATAACACGCACGCTGCCCAGGCAGCTGCAGCAGCCAAGGCAGGCAGGCCAGGCCACTGCAGCAGCCCAGGCAGCTGCAACAGCCAAGACAGGCTACCCAGGCACCACTGCAGCAGCAGCCCAGCCAGGCAGATGCACAGCAGCCTCTACATGCACGTGATTTTGGTGCATTTCGGTGATTTTGCCCTTTGTTGGTGAATTTCTGTGATTTTGGTGCATTTCGGTGTTGTGATACTCATGACAATGTTTGTTTTTTTTTTCCTCTTAAGTTTTGCAAGGTTGAAAGAGAAGGCCTGTTAACAAGCAAGGAAATCAATGAAGTTCGTGACATATAGGCTTTTTTCGTCACATTTGATGGCATCTAGCTAGAATTGTCGTAATGGTTATATTGGTTTGTTAGCTTGACTTTATTAATTAGTTATTATCAACATTATATATTTTAATTAAGTACGTATTAGTACGTTGTATTTGTTATCTTAATATATTTTGGTGTAATTACATATTGTTGTTCATTAAATATATTAATGATGTTACTTTTTATAAATACAATTATTTCATGTTATATATATCATTGTATTATTTTGTATGTAATAAATAATAATTTTATATCGATTAATAATATTAATTAATAATATGAAAGGTCACTAATAATATTATTATATTAATATTATTAATAATTTAAAAAAAAAAACTAAATTGGAAGCGGACTGGCGCCAAAACCGCTTCCAATTAGTTGCGAAAAGGAAGCGGTTCTGGCGCCAAACCGCTTCCAATTACAAAGCTACCTTTTCTCAACTAATGGGAATTGGAAGCGGTTTGGCGCCAGAACCACTTCCAATTCTCAACTAATTGGAAGCGGTTTGAACCGCTTCCAATTTCAATTGACATTGGCAAGCCCCCCAAACCGAAGCGGTTCAAAACCGCTTCCAATTAGGGGGTTTGAACCGCTTTCGATTTAGTTTGTTCTACTAGTGTATGCATGTGATCCTGATTTAGGTGCTTATGAATATGATTCATGAAATTCCGCTTATAGTACCTAAAACACTTCACTACCCAAACGTTTGATAACTTGCGAGTAGTTCTAAACAAATAAAAAAAAGGGTAACAAATGACCCTATCTTTAGAGTAGTTTTAAACAAAATTTTGGAGAGATTATAATATTCTCAGTAGCAGTCATTTTTGGTCCTCTAACAATCGACATAATTGAGTGCATTTGCATGTGTAATGAACTAATGACTACTCTCGAGACATTTTTGGTCAAAGAAAAGAAAAACTTTTGATAACTATATTTAATGCATGAATCTATATACTTCCTCTGTTCCACAAATATTGCAACAAGGATGAAATTACGCATCTCAAACCACGTTTTATATTTTATATATCTATAATTATATAAGAGTAAAAATTATAAAAAGTTGATATTGTGAAAGTATTTTACGAGACAAATCTAACAAGAACCCGCATGACTATATTTTACATTACGTATAAATCATAATTTGTGGTCAAACAAGCATGATGAATAGTGCAAAAGTCCGGTTGTTGTAATACTACTAGAAAGGAGGAAGTATAAAATTCATTGCCATAATTTATCTTAAAGGGTCTTTTTAAGCTGTTGAAGAACAAAGTGGATTAAAAAATATCATACACAAACTCAAGTCATTTGGTAGCTACATTTTTCCAAAAAAAAAAAAAATAAAAAAAAAAATCAAACAACATTGCTACTTATCGGTTATGATCTACCTAGGAATTTATAACAATTTGTTTGGTTCTGACCAAACTTGTGTTTAACGATTACATTTTCAAGAAAATCAAACAGTATTAGTTAGACAAATCAACTTATCGTCGAATTGGGTTGGTTAATTTAATTTGAGTCAAAGTATAAGATACGGTTTGAGTTTTAATCGAGTAATTTGCTCCACGTAAGTAGGTAATAGCTTCGGTTGATTGATTTATCAACATATATAATCAACTTATGAGTTGAAGAACCCAATCCATGTCGGCCGACCCCCGTGTCATTGCCAAAGTATCTAAAACAAAGAAATTAAGTACTTTATAGTTGAATTTTACTACACACCTAGCTAGCTAGTTCAATTCACAAGCAGTAATGAACAACCTTTAGAAAACCACTTGCCGTTGTATAGTGTTCAAAAGTTAGCTACCATCACAAAGTTCGTTTGCCAACTCAAAAGCTTATTAACCATCAACATCATTCACAAACCTTGACCCCACTTTTTCCTAATTTAATTGACACTATTTGTTTAATTACCCTAACCAAATACTGATCTTGTAATAAAATGTTACTTGATTTTGATTTCTATCTTCTAAAAGAATAAAAAAGAATGGATTAGATTTGTTCGTTATTACTTTTGAAAAGCTAATAAAATATGCATGAATTCATCAACTTACTCACCAAGAAATAAATCTTTTATTGATGGCCCTTAATTTTACTTTTTTGATGATCCATGCGACCATGCATGACTCATTCTAAAAGCTTCTACAATATTTTCCACCTTCTATATATACCTCTGCATAACAAACTATATTCCCAACACCAACCACCAAAAATCATTATTCTCTTTCTCTAATCCATCACCACCATTATAATTAATTTGCTGCATCTTATTAATTAAGAGGTGATTGTGTCATTGATAATTATAAGCGAAAATGAATGTTTCCGAGGCATTTAAATCAAGGAGTTTGAAGTGCATGATCGGAGATCATCTCCTTCGAAATGGGTTATCGACAATAAGTTATGATCAAACTAGGAAAACATCCACCATCAAACTATTGCCTGGACCTTCATTCGGCAAAGTGGATGGACCTTTGGTTGTTTCAAAACAACGTAGAGTGGAATCAGTTTTTAACACGATGAATAAACTTGGTACGCATGTATATTATGTTATACGAGCTAAGATAAAAACCATACCTATCTCATTTGCCTGGCCACAATCTTCTAATGCTTTGATTTCTCTACATCGATCTTAAATTAATAAATAATTACGGTACATTATTAATAATGTAATTTGAAATAGTAATAACATCATTTTCTTTAAACGATACAGTGAAAGGAAAATTGAGCTTTGTTGGAGGAGTCGACAGAGTATTTAAACGAATATTTAGTGTGCGAGAGGGTGAGAAGTTATTAAGGGCTTCACATTGCAGCTTGTACACCACAGCAGGTCCCATAGCCGGTCGCCTATTCATCTCAACGGAGAAACTCGCCTTCTGTAGTGACCGGCCAATCGCAAAAGTCTCCTCCACCACCACCGGAGAGCCTCTTTGGTTCCATTACAAGGTAATTTATTTGATTATCTTGTCCTACAAATTTTTATACGTACACATGCATTGTACTACATCATTTTCAAAGTCGAGTAACAAATTTTGACGTGCAATTTATGTCAAATTAATCAAATTTAAACGTGGAATTTTCTTATACATATGCAGATTATGATACCATTAAGGAAAATTCAAAGATTGAATCAAAATGAAAGCACGAAAAAGCCGTCACAAAAGTATCTACAAGTTGTAACCTCGGATGAATTTGAGTTTTGGTTCATGGGATTCCGAACATACAACAAAACTTTCAAATGCCTACAACAAGTATGCAGTCTACCAAAGCTTAATTTATTGACCTCGAGTTAATTAGTTAATGGCGCGTTGGACTAACATCGAAGATGTTGGACCTCTACCCCCTCCGTATTTTTTGTTCTTCCCATTTGGAATCGTTTTGTGAGATGAAAAACAAATTTAATCCGGAAGAAAAAAATAATACTTCTAATTAAATATCTTGTACCATAATCAAACTAGATCAAGTTCTTAGTTGTATGTAAAAATGTAGTGTTAAGTGTGGTTAGTTTAATGTTTTTTTTTTTTTTTTTTTTTTTTTTTTTTTCAATTCTACCTCAATAGCTAGGAAGGAAAAAAGAAGTTTTCCTCCACAAGTTTTAAGTTAGGTGGCAGATGATTTGAGATTACATTGTAATTTTTTGAAACAGAGATTACATTGTACTTTGATTAGTTTATTCATTGTTTCATTGTATTCTTTATAGTAATTGAATTATTGAATTGATCAATAGATTACTTGCTAGCTAAGATTTGTAAATTTTATCGTAAATGATAAAACCATATATATTGAACCAATATTAAATGCATTAAATGAAGACTGCAGCAGTCTTCTTATTATTCTTCAATTTTATTTATATAAATCTACTCTATCCTAATAAAAATATCCGTGACTAATCGTTTCATACGTTGTATTGGGAAAAAAAAAAAAAAATTGTATATAATATATATATATATATATATATTATATATATATATATAATATATATATATATATATCACTAATATATGAAGTCGGTCTCGCAGTCAGGCCACGAGACAGCGACACTTGACATTTCAATTTTTCGTCAAGTGTCGCACCACATAAACGAAAATAGATATTATTGTAACATATATAATGCTAAGTATACGAAATTTGGATAGAGCTTGTAAGATAAAAATATTGCATAGAGTTTTATTATCGATATACTTCTAATATTTTATATATACATAATTAATCATAACTTTTAATAAACATCCTATAATTCGGTTATATTTCCATCATAAAATTCATTTTAAAAAGTTCTATTTATAAGATCTATTTATAATATATTTAAGTTATTTTAATAAGTTTTAATCAGCTGTAAAAACATTTTTAGTTTGGTAAAAATACTTTCAATCCAGTAAGAATAATTTTAGTTTGGTAAAAATAATACTTCCTCAGTTGTTTTTTACTTGACCTGTTTCTTTTATCACGCTTGTCAATGCAAAATTTTAACGATCAATAACTTTAATTATTCATAAGTAAAAATTATAAAAGTTATATATTATGATAGTACTTATTGAGACAAATTCAAAAAGATCTCATGTGAATATGTTTTTGCTTACATATTATTCACAAAAGACAGTGAAAAGAGGGGTGGTGAATAGTGTAAAAGTCAAAGCGGGTCAAGTAAAAAGAACGGAGGAAGTAATAGTTTGGTAAAGGGATTATATGCCTTTGTAGAGTATCTAAATAAACAATTTGGGCATCGCCCAGGCACAAAACTAGCTTTTGGCATCGCCCAGACACAAAACTAGTCATGAATATACCGAGTAATGAAGATCTTCAAACGGGGCAAAAAGGATAGACCCAAATTAATAATGATACACTCAAGGCAAATGAAGGGTAAGTGACTGAGTATGATAGTGTTCATCCCCAAATTTGTTCGATACAACTCTACCAATCCCGAATATCTAAAACAAATCTGTTCAGAGCAGAAATGAAACTTCACATTTATTAGTATAATACAAACTACTGTAGTCTATTAATCTCAAGTCCAAGTCCTTCATCTTTTCTTTGATTCAAAATCTGTTCAGAAAATAAATTGAACTGTGATTTTATTTGCTGAAATTCCACCATAGATTAAGGAAATTAACTCAAGCAAGGGCAACATTTCTCCACAAAAACTTCAAACCACCAGTTTTTTGCCACGATTAACTCAAGACACGAGACAACGACACTTGACATTCCAGTTTTTTTGCCAAGTGTCACACCACGTAGGCGAAAAATAGGTATTATTATGACATATATGATAATAAGTAGACGATTTTTGGATAGATTTTTTAAAATAAAATTGTTGTATAGAGTTTTATTATCGATATACTTCTAATATTTTATATGTACAAAATTAATCATAACTTTTAATAAACATCTTATAACTCAGTTCTATTTCCATCATAAAATTCGTTAAAAAGTTTTATAAAATAAGATCCTATTCTAATATATTTAATTTATTTATAAAATAATAGAGAATAGGCTAAAAATAAGCTTTAATCTGTAAAATAATTTTAGTCAATGTCAAAAAAAAAAAATTAAGTTCAGTAAAAATAATTTAAGTACAATAACAATAATTTCAAGTCAATACACTATTCTATAATTAAGCGATAGGATATTATATGTCTAAATATCCTGCATTATCAAAAGGATTACATACATGACCGTATTAATGAACATTCAAGCCAAAAAGTTTATCTTAAAATTTTATCAACAATCCGGATATCGCCCGGGCACAAAACTAATGTATTTATATACTGGTATATATGATAGCAAGTTTCCTTAATTTTTACTTCTAGACATATTAAGACATAGTCTTGCGAGAAGACATTCTTAATCAACTGCATCTTACTTGAAAAAAAAATACGTAAAATTTTCAATTATTTATTCAGTATGTGCATCGCGTGAACTTAATTAAAAAAGAGCAAGGTTTTCCTACACACAATGATGTATGGCGACCTTCCTACAGTTGTGCTTTGGTTAGTGATAGAGTATATAAACCGATCATGGGTTTCAACCATCAGCTTAAGCTTTTGGTTGACTTGGTCCATTAACATGGATTTAGAGCTAACGTGACACAAAGGTCACTGGTTCGAATCTTATCCACCCCTCCTTTCAAAGTGGAAGATTAAAACGCTAGGTATGGTGGGGCCCATGCTACATCCACATTTCAAGCCCGATGGGCTCTCATGTGAGGGGGCGTGATAGAGTATATAAACCGATCCTGGGCTTCAACTATCAGGTTAAGCTTTTGGTTGACTTGGGCTATTAACAGTTAGTGTAGCACAAAGAGTATGTAAACTTTAGCCCATATAAATATGTCTTAGGGTTGTGCCATAAATTTTTAAATGATGGTCAAGGCACAACTTAAGCATACACGCTCTTGTATTGTGAATACGTGCCTGAATCATATTTCTCTAAATTATTTTATTGATGTCAAAACGTATAGTGAATTTCAAACAAAAACACAGCCCAACACGACCACAACCTAACACATAATAATGTGACATCGATCGTACGTTAACACAAAGAGTCTATGTATGGTTCGAAGGAACACCTGCTCAATGAACGTGCTGCACACCTTGATTGCTTTACAATGACATTCAACTAGTCCCCTAAAGCTAAATTGATTATTAGTTTGCTTTTCGGGTAAAAAGGGAGATAAATGTTGTCTATTTGAGTTAGCTGTACATTAGGCAAAATTAGAACAATGGCTGCAACACACAAACATTGATATTCATTGTATGAGTTTAAAGTTGTTTCCTTAGCTTGTTTTATCCCAAACAAACTGTACCCCAACCTTATACATTACTGTACTTATGCTTACAAACACCCATTAACTCGTACTTATCTTTCATACAAGTTTAAACCAATTGCGGTATTCAAAAAATTATGTTTCAATTGTCACAATAAAATAAATGAAAGGGAGTGTTGATCAAAAAGCATGCATGTTTAGAATTCTTTTTTTCTTGTCAATTGATTGAAAAGTATAAAAAGATCGAATTAAAGAGCAGAAAAAGAAGGATACACAATATGCATACGTGAGTGAGCTAAGAAATATTAAGTGAAAGTATGCTTAAGATAAAAGGGAAAAGGAGGAAAAGGACATAACTAAATGCAAATTAAGCTGTTGCTCACAACTAATAGTATACACTCACATTATTGTTATCAAAAGTAATCAAATCTTTCTTTAGCTAGCTAGTTCAATTCACAAGAAGATAAGGTTAATGCAAGCAGTAATGAACAACCTTTAGAAATTAAAACCACTTGCCGTTGTATAGTGTTCAAGTTAGCTACCATCACAAAGTTCGTTTGCCAACTCAAAAGCTTCTAAAGCTTATTAACCATCAACAATCATTCACAAAGAGAACTTCATAAATAAAGAGCAAGATACTACCTAGGCTAAAAGAAAGAAACTAAAATACAACACACATACTAAAACCCTAATACAAGCTTTGGTTATACAACCTATACGAAGAAGAGCGCTGCTACCACGAGCATTCGATCGAGAACTACAAGACGAACCCCGTTAATACTTACCTGTAAATCATGAACTTGCCACCATAAAATACCCAAGCCGGAGCGAACAAGGTGAGGAAGCTGAAAATGGGAGTAGCATAGGAGCCCAGCAAAGAGAATGAAACACCACTTTGATGGAAGCCGATGTGAGTAAAATACTACCCCAAAAGTCAAGTACCATGATTCAATAGGCGAAAACCGATGTGAGTTTAAAAAAAAAAAAAAAAAAAAAAAAAAAAAAAAAAAAAAAAAAAAAAAAAAAAAAAAATTCATTCACAAACCTTGACCCCACTTTTTCCTAATTTTATTGACACTATTTCTTAATTACCCTAACCAAATGCTTAGAAAAATAATAGATTTTAATTTGTAATAAAATGTTACTTGATTATTATTTCTATCTTCTAAAATAAACAAAAAGAATGGATTAGATTTGTTCGTCATCACTTTTGAAAAGCTACTAAAATATGCATGAATTAGTCAACTTACTCACCAAGAAATGAACCTTTTTTTGATGGCCCTTAATTTTACCTTTTTGATGATCCATGCATGACTCATTCTAAAAGCTTCTACAATATTTTTCACCTTCTATATATGTCTTCATAACAAACTATATTCCCAACACCAAAATCATTATTCTCTTTCATTCTTTAATTCACCGCCATAATAATTCATTAATTTGCTCCATCTTATTAATTAAGAGGTGATTGTATCATTGATAATATAGTTTATTAGCGAAAATGATGTTTCCGAGGCATTTAAATCAAGGAGTTTGAAGAGCATGATTAGAGATCATCTCCTTCGAAATGGGTTGTCAACAATAAGTTATGATCAAACTAGGAAAACATTAAACATCCACTATCAAACTATTGCCTGGACGACCTTCATCCAGCAAAGTGGATGGACCTTTGGTTGTTTTAAAACAACGTAGAGTACAATCTGTTTTTAACACGATGAATAAACTTGATAGGTATGTATATTATATTATACGAGATAAAATAAAACCAATATCTATCTTATTTCCCTCAATCTTCTAATGCTTTGATATCTCTACATCTGAAATTGATAAAAAAAAAAAAATCACGGTACATTATTAATATATAATAATATAAATTGAACTAGTAATAACATTATATCTTTTCTAATGAT